TGCATACTCATCAGCTTGTGGGGGAGTATCAACCGAAGAAGATGATGATCAGAATCTGCAGAGCTGAAGTGCAGAAGATCGAAATGAAGCAGAGGAAAACCAACCCAGAAACGAAACGTTTCTGGGTTCCCTCCATCCAACTTAAACGAAGAGCCAAAGCGACGTCGTTGTGGAGGTCTCGGAGTTAACCGTTGGGTGGACTTTCACGGAGCGAATGGATGCACGCCATCTGTCGTTTTACTATTACTGTAACTTTGAATTTCAGTGTATCATTTCCGTTTTTACTGTTCCAGTATTTTGTATCTTGAAGAACACTTTACAGTTGAGTATATATAGAAAAGCAGAGAGATCCCTTGCTCTCTTGCGCATTTCCCCACCTTTGTGTGCTGTCGTCTTCTTCCGCAAACCGTAGCTGTAGCTAGTTTTATATCTCCTCCACCCCTCAATTCCCTCCATCCACATAGGAGCGCCGATCAATCCTCCAAACGAGCCTTCAGTTTGCCGACATCCCATGGCCGAGTTCCGTCTCGCATCTTCCCTCCTATGTGTGGCGGCGGCGACGATTGAGGGCGTTATTAATAACCTCCAATAGGCGGACAGTTCGATCTTCTTCCTGTTCGAGCTCTTCCGCTTGGAGTTGTCCAGCAATGGCGGCGGAGACTGAAGCGGAACCGAAAGAGGCCAACAAAGAATCCGCCACCAATGCGGTGGACCCAAGGAGGATGGCTCTTCGCCTTGCAATAGAAAGGCTTTTTGCATTTGGGAAAGAAGACGGAGGAGATGAAAGCACGGGATCGGTGGTTTCGAGGCGGGACGGCAGTGAGAGTGAGGGAAGTCCGTGCATGGGACTGGTGTCAGGTCGCATTTGAGAAAAAGAGAAGCTTGCGGTGGCGATGAAGCTCAAAGGGCGATGAGCTGATATAGAGAGAGAGGTCGTATGAGGGGACGAGAGACCTAGTCTACGGTGGGACTCGATGCTCCACAGGGAAAGAAGAGGAACGATAAGGAGGTAACGGGTTAGGGAGCTAGTCGGTGGTATACACCGAAATGGATCAGATAGCGAGTTATGAATATGTTAGAGTAGCGATGGCGATGGTATACACCTCTAACCATTGGGCAAATTCTCTACCCCTCCAAAGCCTGCCTTCCTTCTTTCACTTGCCATCTGATTCTCTATCTCTATCTATCTCTGCAATAATTCATGAAAAGCAGTAGATTCATATATTCATCATCCCACTGTCAACCCCTCTCTCAGCTTTTGAGTCATTATTGTGTATATGCATTTCTGATCTATTAGTTAAAACAAACAGTAACAAACGACAAAATGGGCTCATTCGTTTCTCTCTTCTGGCCTCCCAGCCATGTGTCAGAGAGGAAAATAAAAAGGAAACAAACATGTCTGGCAATTTTCTTATTAGAGTTCTCGTCAAATTAATTTAGGCGTCGAAATTTGAGTTTAGTGATTCGTTAGAGGAGACACACTACTCTAACATATTCATATACTCTCTTTACATAGTCCAATAAATTTGCGGACGATTCATAACACTGAAATTCGCCTCCGGTCACGATGCACTCGCCTTGTGGTCATTCAAAAAAATTATCCATCCAATGGGTATCGTAGGCTCTTAGCAAAGCTCCTAATTAATATCTCTTTGCCTTTTGCCACAAACATTATAAGCAGCAATGGCGGTAGCGAGTTATACCGTCCAAATTACTTTACTTTGAATAATCATATAACTATGTTAGCCTACACTGTTATGCACATGGATGTATGCATTAGCACTCCAAAACTGCTATCTGTATCTCATCGCTGGTCTTCCCCTTTTTCTAACGACCCTCTCTATGAGATTGTAGAGTCACCACATTGGAAGCTTTCGTAGAGTAGATTTGGGAAGTGATAGTGCTGTTTTGTAATTTGTTCTATGTAGCTTTTGAGATGCAATTGTGTTTTTGGAGCATCAATCTTATTTCTCTCTTTATCAAATTGAAATCATTGAAAGTGGCCATATTTTTATGAGTTCCGATCCTCAAGTTCATTGGAATGCACGCCAAAAATCGTTTAATGCAAACCAAAAATCTCTTGAAACGTAACAGAAATGTCATAAAGCATACCATAATTATTTCTAAAGCGTGCCAGAAACTTTCTAATACAGGTCACTTATCGCCTAAAACATACCAGAAACCCCACGAAGCAAACCACACTTATTTCTAAAGCATACCAGAAACCTCCTAATACATACCAAAAACCTTCTTATGCAGACCGCAAATTCCCTAAAACAAACCAAAAATCTCACAAAGCAAACCACATAATTTTCAAAAGTACATCAGAAACCTCATAATGCAAACCACAAATACGATAAAGCAAACCACAAAAACAAACCAGAAACGTCCTAATGCAAACAAAAAATATATTTAAAAAAAACCAGAAACCTCGCAAAGCAAACTAAAATATATTAAAACAAACCAGAAACCTTGCAAAGCAAACCACAAAAGTTTTGAAAGCACACCAGAAACTTCTTAATGCAAACTAGAAACCTTCTAATTCAGACCACAAATCCCCTAAAACAAACCAGAAACCCCACAATGCAAACCACAACATTTGCGAAAGCACACCAGAAACCTCATAATGCAAACCACAAACATAGTAAATCAAACCACAAAAAAGCAAACTATAAACGTCCTAATGCAAACCACAAATACATTAAAACAAACCAGAAACCTCACAATGCAAACCACAAAGTTTTTGAAAGCAAACCATAAACTTATCAATGCAAACCACAAACACAATAAAGCAAACTAGAAACTTCTTAATGCAAACCACAAACACGATAAAGTAAACCACAAAAGACATACAAAAATATGAGAAACCAAACCATAAATCTCACAATGCACACCATAACATCCGGTGGTCGTTGGTCGTTGACCAGTCAACGAAACCCGTTGACCAAACTCCGATGACCGTCAGTGAGTAGATTCCGACGCCAATAGGCATATTCCGGCCCCGATGACTAGATTCCGACGCCGGTAAGCATATTCCGACCACGGTGAGCATATTCCTGCGACGGTGGCATATTCCGGCGACAAAAAAGCATATTCCGGTGACCAGCGACCAGATTCCGACGACCAAAATTTTGGGCCGAAAATAAAAAAATATTTATTTTTATTTTTAGTTTTTTATTATTATTTAAACATATTTTTCATAATGACAATTATACCCCTGCTTTGATTTTACACTAGGTCAACTCATCTAATAAAAAGTCATCACAACCCTAGCTTCCTATTGGTTGGAGACTAGCGTTGTTACAATAACAACACAAGGGATGTTGTTATAGTAACCGGTCCCCCCCAGCGCTGTCTCACATTTTCTTTGCAGACGACCTCATCCTGTTCGGAGAAGCGTCTTTGCACCAGGCAGAGACTATTAATCATTGCTTTGATACTTTCAGCGCCTCTTCGGGTCAGCAAGTGAGCAAGCCTAAATCGAGGATCTTTTATTCAAAGAATGTGCCCTCACAGTTGAGGTCCCAGATCTCATCCTCGATAGAAATTCAAGAAACGGTTAATCTGGGACGGTATCTAGGGGTTCCGGTCATTCATGACAGAGTATCAAAATCGACTTACATTGACTTGATTAATCGCATAGATTCTCGTCTTGCAGGTTGGAAGGCAGCCACGATGTCCCTTGCAGCTCGGATAACTCTGACTCAGTCTGTGCTGTCGTCCCTCCATCCTGGCCTATACCATGCAAACGGCCCTCATCCCGGCTAGTGTCCATGACTATATCGATAAAAAAATCCGGGGATTTGTTTGGGGGAGCACGGAGGGTACCAGGAAAGTTCATCTAGTGGATTGGACCACTATTTGCGCTCCCAAGGAGGAAGGAGGGCTCGCACTCCGTGATTCGAGACGCACCAACGATGCCTACATGCTGAAGCTAGCCTGGCGGATGCTAACAAACCCCGAGGAGCTTTGGGTCCGTCTCATTAAAGCTAAGTACTTCAAGCTCCGAGAGGGTGAGTATGTGCTCCGCTACCAGGGACGAATCTCAAACCTTTGGCGAGGCGTGCTGCGGGTGTGGAATCTGATTGAAGTTGGGTCTGCTTGGAACGTAAGGAATGGCTGCACAGCGAGGTTCTGGAGTGACCGGTGGCTCAATAATTGCGAACCTTTACTGTCGTACAGGGGCCTTGCATCTTCACGTGATTTTATCCTAAATGGTGAGTGGAATGTAGATTACCTACGTGCTTTCTTACCCCATTCTATTGTGGCGCAGGTTTTACTCCATCCCATTCCCGAGTAGCAAGAAGCCGACGTGAGGACCTGGAGACTCACTGCCGACGGGAAGTTTTCAATCAGCTCCGCGTACCAGCTGCTTGCCCAGAGCCAAAACATGCCCGAGACACACCCGATATGGCGTACAATCTGGCGTGCACCAGCCCTGCAGCGCAAGAGAACTTTTTTATGGCTGGCATCACACGATCGCTTGCTTACAAACTCGGAGAGAAGACGCCGCCATCTTACCGAAGACAGCTCGTGCAAACTTTGCGGTGGCGGGCCGGAGACTACCATGCACATCTTGAGGGAGTGCCCAATGGCTAGAGCTACTTGGGCGGATCTTTTGGACACCGAACCTGATGAAGCCTTCTTCCGCCAACCTTTGAGGAAATGGTTGTTTCATTATCTTGCAGGAAGAAGTCCTATCGTGGATAGCACCCTGTTTGCTTGCACTTGTTGGCATCTGTGGAAAAACCGGAATAACCACGTGTTCCAAGGTGAGTTACAGTCCCCTGCTCAAATCCAGTTCATCACAAAGCAGCTCAAGCAGCAGATTCTGGCTGCACTCGAGAAGGAGAACGAGATATTCGGAGGAGGGGGACCTCCGACCAGCCGTTCGATACACTGGCAACCGCCACCACCAGACTGGATATGCATTAACACCGACGGCTCGGTCATTCACTCTCCTTTAAGCACGGCAGCTGGCGGCATCGTTCGGGGGAGCGATGACCGCTTCATCAGAGCTTTTACTGCGAACTTGGGAGGGGGTTCGATTACCCGTGCAGAGCTGACTGGAATTGGGCAGGGACTGAAACTTGCTTGGGAACTCGGGGCTAGGAAGGTGATTCTCCAGACTGACTCTCTTATAGCAAAAACTCTCATCGATAATGCTTCCGAGCACCATCCTCACTTCGTGGCAATTGCGGAGATACGTCGTTGGCTTCTGAAGCCTTGGCAGGTTCGAATCGAGCATGTGTATAGGGAGGGGAATTATGTTGCGGATTACTTGGCTTCCATCGGTCATTCCTATCCTGTAGGGGTCCATGTTTTTGATGCCCCATCGAGTACTTTAGCCTACTGGTTGTATTTCAACATTATTGGGGTGGAAACTCCTCGTCTTGTTAATGAATAAAGGTTGGGCGCCCTTTAAGCGCTCCGTTTTCCGACAAAAAAAAAAGATATGACTGGTTCCGAGAAGGCTCCTTATCCTTATTACCAATGATTTAAATATATAACTAGCTTTGATCACCACCATTTGCCTGCTGAGTTTCATTTCATATTAAATTAGTTTTGAGAAATTTTGTTCATATTCTTGAAATTCTCATCAGTCGCATACATTACTTTAATCTTCAATTATTTTTCATATATTATTCAAAAAGATATTTGTGTATGACCCGAAGGTGTGCTTTGAGAATTTGACTTGTATATACAAAGCTAATCAAGTCACTTTGGGGACACCTACAATATCGATATGATATATGTTCATTTATAAGTGAAAATATTCAACTCATAATTGATATATATATATATATGGCAAAGGCTAGCGTATGCCCGGACGTACCCTAAACCATATATATATATATATATATATATATATATATATATATGTATGGTGGCTACTTCGGTGCACTCACTTTTTTGGGTGCACTAAGCGTCCATAATACATCAAATTTTAAACTTTAATTAGTACTCTCAATATAATATGATGATATGACATAGAATCATAACAAATCAATCCATTACCCTAACCCCTTAACCTTCAATTTTGAATCCCAACCCAAAATCCCAAATTGTAAACCTAAACCCTAACCCTAAATCCATAAATCCTAAATCCTTCAAATTAAAGTAAATTTTGAATGAATTTTTTTCAAATTCATGTGCTTCTTGTTCATAATATCATAAGCAACAATTGATACCGTTTTGACATGAATCGCATGGTCAGAATGACAATTATGAGTTGGGTGCACTGAGTGCACCCGAAAAAGTGGGTATATATATATATATATATATACATGGTGATGACTGGTGTACGTCAGGCGTATACTATACGTCAGGCGATCTAGCCGTTAGATGTACTTAGATGAGCTCCGGCCGATCTTAACGGTTAATTTTTGTTTTTCATTAAATCAAACTTCGGGTTGGGGTTTAGAAAATCGGAGCCTGGGGTTTATCCATTAGAGGTTAGTGTATAGTATCATACCCCAAACTCGGTTTAATTCATGGTCTAGATAGAGATATCTCACTAGTAGTACCTGGCGTACAATATACGCCTGACGTACACCAGTCTGACCCATAGTTCAAGCTAGCGTATGGCCGGGCGTACGCTAACCTAGCATACACCCCATTGAGTTTTGCTATATAGATCATGAATTAACCGGAGTTTGGGGCATGATACTATACCCTAACCTCTAATGGGTGAACCCCAGTCCCTAATTTTCTGACCCAAACCATGAGATTCGTTTAATCTTAAAATGAAAATCTTTACGAATCAGAATCGTTGATTTTTCATTTTTAAGATTAAACGAATCCGATGCTTTGGGTTAGTGAATTGAGGACTGGGATTCGCCCATTAGGGGTTAGGGTATAGTATCATGTCCCAATCTCCGATTAATTTTTTTTTGTCTAAATAGCAAAATTCAATGGGGCGTACGGTAGGCTAGCCTACGCCCGGACGTACGCTAGCCTTTGCCATGGTTCAGGCTAGCGTACGCCTCATTGAGTTTTGCTATATAGATCGTGAATTAACCGGAGTTTGGGGCATGATACTATACCCTAACCTCTAATGGGTGAACCCCAGTCCCTAATTTTCTAACCAAACCATGAGATTCGATTAATCTTAAAATGAAAATTTTAACGAATCAGAATCGTTGATTTTCATTTTTAAGATTAAACGAATCCGATGCTTTGGGTTAGTGAATTGAGGACTTGGATTCACCCATTAGGGTTTATGGTATAGTATCATGTCCCAAACTCCGATTAATTTTTTGTCTAAATAGCAAAATTCAATGGGGCATACAGTAGGCTAGTATACGCCCGGATGTATGGTAGCCTTTGCCATGGTTCAGGCTAGCATACGCCCCATTGAGTTTTGCTATATAGATGATGAATTAACCAGAGTTTGGGGCATGATACTATACCCTAACCTCTAATGGGTTAACCCTAGTCCCTAATTTTCTAACCTAAACCATTATATTCGTATAATCTTAAAATGAAAATTTTGACGAATCAGAATCGTTGATTTTCATCTTTAAGATTAAACGAATCCGATGCTTTGGGTTAGTGAATTGAGGACTGGGATTCACACATAAGGGGTTACGGTAGAGTAACATGTCCCAAACTCCGATTAATTTTTTGTCTAAATAGCAAAATTCAATGGGGAGTACGCCCGGAGGTACGCTAGTCTTTGCCATATGTATATACATATATAGTGATTGATTATTTTTCACCTTGTATGTTTATTGCCTTTAAGGGGTCATTTGGATGAATTGATTGTCAATGTGGTATTTGTATGAGCAAATAACTCATTTTTCCTATATGTGGTATTTGTGTGTTATTTGGTAGAATTGGAAGTTAAATTATCTTGTTTGAATGAGCCAAAACAATGAATTATTTTATATGTGGTATTTGTGAGTTACAGATTTAAATACCACAATGCCCTCACTTTTATAACCTCCCTATTTCATAATACACCACATCAGACAAAGCAACCTTTTAATAAATCTACATCTCTCAAGCAACCTTTTGCAATTTCATACGTGTGCTGTCAAACAAAGCAACCTTTGTAATTACAACTGTTCACAACTAATGACCAAACTGTTCACAACATACACAACCTGTTATAAGCCTATTCTAATAGCACAAGCTGTTCTAAGCTTGTCCACTACATACAAAGTACTCCAGCAACTATTCTAACAGCACACCACCAGCTAGACACCACACATTCTGACAAAAAGAAGAAGCTTACAGCACACCAGGAGCAATAAAGACTGTTGAGGCAGATGGCTTGTAATTTTCTACAATATCCAATAGGTTCACCGTTCAAGTAAGCAACTTTCATTGAAGTGACCAAAATCTGTAGACAAAGGGAGCGACGAAGGGATGTCGGAGCTACCAAAGGATGTCAGAGCTAGAGATTCGTGCCAAAAGGAGCACGAGGAGTGTTAGCGTATTAAGATGTATTAGGCTACGTTTATGTGTTGTATGTGTGTGGGGCCATGCTAATTAATTAAGCCCACACGTAAACCACATGGTAAATCACATGCTGGACCATATCCATGCATGGTAGACATCTCTGCTAAGTCTAACCTAGGGCATGTGATAGATAAAGAGGAGAGTGTGGCCGCCGATTCTGTACCAGTTCTACATATCATTCAACTCAGTAAAATCAGTAGCCTGAAGAGCGTTCAAAGCTCTTCCATGAATTAGTCCTGGATTTCATCCAGGGATACCACGTAAACTCCGGTGTTTGTGTTCGTATTCATTTCCGTATCGTTCTATATCTGCTTCTGTTTCTGTTAATATGGTATCAGAGCCAACTGCGACTGATTCAGAGAGGCCAACGGTGCGCCTCACATCCACGAACTATGCGTTGTGGGAGTTACAATTTCGAGTATTCGTCGAAGGACGTGGACTGCTAGGTATTCTAGATGGTACTGCTCCTCAACCTGCCGCCACTGCAACTCCTCAAGAGAAGCCGACAAGGATTCAGAGTGACGCAAGAATCCGCCATTGGTTGCTGGGTTCAGTTGATCCCACGACATGCCTTAGTCTTAGGATGTTTCCTACCGCGAACAGGATGTGGAGACACCTCGCGAGATTGTATTCCACCACAAGTGCTGCCCGACAGTTTGAAGTAGAGACCTCCCTAGCTCGTTTGACGCAAGGAGATCGTTCCATCACAGAGTATTTCAACGCGGCCCAGGAACTTTGGACTGAGCAGGACATGCTGCATCCAGCGTTGAGGCCGAATTCTATGACTGATGAAATGATTGCTGAGCGCCAATAAACCAGGGTCATGCAATTTCTTATGAGATTGCGGCCATAATTTGAGAATATTCGGGCCACTTTTCTGAACAGGGAGCTTATTAATTTTGATGGAGTTATCAGTGGGTTGTTGCGTGAAGAGACACGCTTAAGGACTCAAGCGCAGTTGGATGTTCGTCCGAGAGAAGGTGAGACTTTCACCGCAGCTCCTGATCCCTCGGTAAGACAAGGTTTGGGTCAGCGTTCGCAAGTTTTCGCTGTGTCTCGTCCTCAATTTAATAATAGGGTGCCTAATGCTGTGCTTGAGTGCGATCATTGTCATGAGAAGAAGGGTCGCTTGGTTAAGCACTGTCAGAGAAGAAATTATTGTGTTTACTGTAAAAGGATGGGGCATATTATATTGGAGTGTCGGACCCGTGAACGTAATCAAGAGAGGTACGCCATTATTGGTTGATAGATTTTGGTTGTTATAATCACATGACTAATGATGGAAAATCATTGCAAAATATTAAATCTATTAGTCATGTGGGATTAACAGGGGCCAATGGTGATAGAATGGAAGTAACAGGAATGGGTAAAGTTGATACTCATAACATTTCCCTATCTTGGACTTTACATGTTCCTGCTTTGGTTCCTTATCTAGTTTCAGTCGGACAACTTACTGAGCAAAGGTGTTCTGTTATTTTTGCTCCCACTGGTTGTACTATACAGGACTTGAAGACGGGGAGACAGATCGGAAAGGGGAGTAAGGAGGGGAGGATTTTTCACCTGGAGGAACTTCAAGACAGTTCGAGTTCGGCTATTTCAT